AAATCTATATATTAATAGTAACAAGGACAGGCATGTAATTGGTTTGGAGATCGCGAAGATCGTGTACCATGTATTTAAAAGGATGAGATCACGTACGTATAAAATCGTAAAATCATTTCTAATATCTTTATCATTAGTTCCTTTATAATATTTGTGATAAGATAACGACGAATTAAAAACAGTCGATGGGTATTGTTGTAATCGTAAATTCAAGTTCAGACAATGACAAACTCAGAAGTCCGCTCAATTTTTTTTATTTAGAACTATGCGGGAAGTGAAAATCCAAACATAATGAAGTGATGCAGAGAAGTAGGAAGTGGCTTTAAGTAATATCCTGATATTAACCACTGTTGCACTGCCTAAAGGTACACAGTCACCTAATGCACTTGAGCATTTGATATCATTTATGAGCTAACGGATTTGAATATCACAAGATACTTGCGTGAAACAGAAAGTGGTAAGCGCATCCTTTGCAATATCTAAACCTTGTGGAGTCGAAGTTTAATTTGCAAGTCAAAATCGTGATTACCACTCAATTGTTTGGTACCATGGAGAATTCACCGACAGAATTTTCTGTTGAAAGCGCAACGTGGACAAATACCTCTGGATTCGAACAATCAGTAGAGGTGAGAACTGACGCGAAGTCTGAATCCGGCCATGTCGATGGTTCCCTCAGCATGAACATATCTCCAGGTCGAGACCCCTACACTGTTTTCACATCTTTTCTCGTCTCACGTCTTGTTAGCAGGTTATTACCCTGCTCTTACAGACGCTTGCATTCTACTATGTTAATGATGTAAAAATAAATACGTCAGATCATCTAGGATCACATTTTTTAAAAATGGCCTTTGGACCCTCCGTGTGGATCCAAATTCATATTAATATCGGTTTTACTAAATTTGGCGCCACCGCCTTTATCATTTCGTTTTTACGACTCCGGTGCGGTGCTCATTTGATACACCAGCCTACCGCGGACAATCTTGTTGAGCCAACTGAGAGGGTCTTATTGCTTTCATGTCTGCATTATAGTAACTCGCCGTTCGCAGTCCAGTACTATCGCCCCATGTTAAGGAATGTACGACAGTCTTGGATTCTGCATCCCATTCCGTGGATTGTGGATTCTAAGTGCTGGATTCCAGTCTTTTTCAGCGGAACGTGGATTCTGGATTCCATACCTTAGTGGGATTTCGGAGTACTTGAGCTCTATTCTGGATTCCAAAGCCCTGTATTCCGGATACCACGAGCAAAATTTTCCCGGATTTTGGATTCTACAAGCAAGAATTTCCCAGATTCTAGAATCCGGATACCCTTACATGGGGCGAAGTACTAGTCTAACATTTTCGGGACCTGTCATCTTCTAACGTTCAATTTTAAAATGTGATGGATCGGAGTAACTCCTGGTCAGTGCAGCTTTTTGAGACTGGACCACATTTTCAACTAGAAGAGGTCTGGTTCTGAAACAATATTTTCCCGTCTTCACATAATAGATTTAACACGAATGTTCGGGGCGGGGCAGTAGGAAATTAAATGAAACTTGGAAAGGTATCTTTTACTTGCTGAACTAATTTTTGAACAATATATATCATTGGCAAAGGGAAAAAGGGAATTTTAATATAGTTATATAGCTATCAATCTCTCACCAAATCATGTTCTTAGGTCTGACTTAGGTGCCACTTTGGAGAATTTTCTGATAATTTAGGGCATTTATTCGTTCATTTTGCTTTCTTAATTGAATCAGTGAAATAAAGACGGCCAGTTTTTGCTGATTACGAAGCAATATGCTTCCAAATAAGTGTAAATAGTCTAGGATTTGATGAACCGAAGTACTTTTAAACGATCGTTAGAAACCCGTATAAGAAAGACTAAAATTTCCATATTTTAGCCGCCAACGGTCGTCCAGCATTGAAATGCTGGGAATGGCAGTGAAATAAACAATTACCTCATTCTAACTGCAATTTTGTTATTAGGGTGGATAGCAGTATCGATGGCAAAAATATTAGGCAAAAGTTTTGTCGAGTCCGAAATCGAGTGCAACGCTTTTAGGGAGACTGCCTCTTAACACCGTTGCAATGCGATATATAAACAAACTGACCTACGAGGTTAAATAGTTGAGCGGAATGAGGGATTGTGTTACTGTGTGACAGTTGTGTGATCATTAAGTTCTTGGGAATAAATCTGTTCCTATTGGGGCATGAACTTGCTAATTCGTTGTATTTGTTTAGGCAACATACTTCTTTTTTACAGACTATAAAAAACTTTTCACTCAGGCAGAGGTTACATTTTTTTGCTAATATTATTATATAGTTTTCATTTTCTTAGTATTCTCCACTTCACGTTGAAGGGTTTATTTGCGTTTCTGAGGGTCCAAATATGCTTGGATAGTTCGGTCTAGTTGCTTTTCTTGTAATTTCTGAAGGAGGCCGTGTGTTATGTGACGCGATGATGGATTTCATGTTTGGCATGTAGGAATAGCTGAGTTTAAAAGAGCATGTGTCTGTTGAAGATCTTGTGAAAATGGTTTCTTTGAAAACATTTGTCCACGATCTGTGTTCGTGTGGTTGTTCGATGGGTCATAGGTAAGTTTGAAGTTGTACCCGCTTTCGTCTAGTGCTTTTTGATAAAGGGCAATAGATTCGTTAAAAACCTGTTGGGTGGATGGAATCCTTAATAATCTCTTTGTTATGTTTTCAGAAATGTTTTTCAGTAAGGCTAGGGGTGGTTGCTTCGACGATAAACGTAGAGTAGTTTATTGTTTGGTTTCCTGAAGGGTTTAAAACTTCGGTTTGTTAGATCAAAGGTTGCGTCTAACAAGTTTACAATTTTCTTGTTCGCCTCGCAACAATCTAAACAAACGCGAGAGAGCAGCCTTGGAAAGGCTAGGTAATAAGGATTAACCAGGTTAATCAGTAATAGTGGAATCTCCTCCGGTCCTATGTCCTCCACTTCAGCAGACTCAAAAACATGTTCTTTATTAGGCTTATACTACTCTCCTCCCTAATTGCGGAAATAAAATCTGCGATTTGTTTCTGCGATGGACCCATACCCCTCCCCTCCCTTGTGATGTTTTCTTCGGCACTAGCAGCTAACTGGCTTGTAGTAACAAAACTGGTTGTCGCGTCCAGATCCAAGTCCCCAAGTTTCCTAGTTATCCTAACGAGTGTTTCTTTGAATCTTTGACAAATGATAGAAATTTTGCTCACCATAGAAGCATACCATTTGCCTAGGAGATGCAGTTGAGGAAAATTTGTTCGAGGCAACGCGACTTTATCAAATGGCTCAATACTTCTTAAAATGGACAAGAAAGTTTTTATTCCGCCATATAAAAAATAATTTACATGTTCAAACTCAAAAAGGCTTACTAATAATTAATTCAAACTCTTTAAATGAATTTAAAGCCTGTTTGAGCGAAAATTGAATCTGCGCGTAAACAACCACGTAAAAATACTTAAATGGATATCTTCATTAATATCAATGAAAGGTGAATGATGTTCTATGATAGACAAAAGATTGAAGTTATTAAACCCACTTGTGGACTACCCCAAACACCCCAATTTTTGCAATTTTTACCTTCGAAGAATTGGGTTTACTTTAAGTGTGACCGTTGAACATTTGAACATCACGCCAATTGAGGTATGAGATCCGTCTCTCGCTTTCTTCACCGAAACACATTCGTAAGTTTGTGTGTGGAATCTTAAAGATCAAGGTTAGATCTTTCCGGTAAAGGGTGTTTTATCCCCACTTTAAGTGCCACTTCTGGGATTTTTACATTTTATTTTTGCTTATTTTCGGGTTTCCTTAACGGGCCGCTTGGTAGGGTCTCTTCGATTTCTTCTAGTTGATTTATTTTTTATTCAACAATTATGATATGTGGATATTGAGTAGTTTATAGGTACCTAAATGCTGTGGTATTACTTATTTTTGCGTTTCGACCAGCACCCAACAACAGCGCGATCTTCAAAAGTCGCTATTTTCGGTGTGTGAATGGGTCCAAAATCCGTCGTCAGATGGCGGAAGTCGTTTTGGTGTGTGGCAAAAAAGAAAAGCAAGAAATCTAACAGACTAAGCCAGTTTTATTATATGTATACCAAATACTTTTTGTCCACGGAATATAAAGGCAAACTTTCTTTGCCCTGACATGGGAAAAATAAGTAGGTAAATACTCTTGATGACTGTGACTCTGACTCTGAAGTTATGTTCATTGGGGCAGTCAATGCACTAGACAAAGACTGGGTGGGTTGAAACTGTCAATTTTGGAAGCATTCAACAGGCCTTTAAACTAGATAACCGGTCCCTGTGCATTGTGTTGCCCAAAGTTGCATATGACAAATTGACAACAAAACCTTTGCAACCATCCTTGGCAAGGTTAGAAAGTTGCTTTAAAACTTGTATTAGACCTGCTGAAAGTGCTATTGAAAATGGCAGCATTCTTGATGAGTTCCCTGAAGTATTCCAAGGTCTTGAGTGCCTCCCAGGGAAATATCACATAAGTATTGACCCCTCTGTTCTTCCTGTGGTTCGTCCATTTAGGCGAGTTTCTCACTCAAAGCGAGACCCACTGAAGAAAGAGTTAGATCGGATAGAGGATGTTGGTATTATAGAGACAGATCTATTCGTCTATAGTTGGATCCTAAAGACGGTAATGCTACCACTAAAAGAAAACACTACCCCTCTGGCAGTCGTAGATGACATCATAACTTTTCAACTTTGGATGCAGAAAAGGCATTCTGCCATATCTGCTTAGACGAGGAGTGCAGCAAAGTCCTGACATTTAATATCCCCTTTGGGAGGTATAGATACCTGAGGATGTCGACGGGGATTACGTCTGGTCCTGAGGTTTACCAACAACCGTATTTGTTTGGATAAAAGGCGTGGTGGTGCAGGCGTATTAGCTCCTTCAACTTAACAGAAATCCAGGGCGCATCGTTAGGGTAGGCTTTATTTGACCTTTCTGACAAAATACTACCTATGCCAATTTCTACCAGATTACTGTATAAATTTACTTGGAGTTTTTCCTCATAAATGGGTTGGTTGGTGACGCATTGCCAGCCAATATTAGCAAAGTACCGGGTGAGGCGCGCCTTGTAGGTGTCTCTTATGTCTCTAATTTGATGGTTTTCTTGGTGTGCTGGTTGGGGTACTCTTTTCTTTCGCTTCACAATGATTGTATAGTGGTCTAATGGTGGTAAATTCTCAGGAGTCGAAAAGTGATCCTCATGTTGTTAACATTACGTCGAGCGTAGCTTCACCCCTTGTTGGAAATTTCACAAGCTGTTTCAACTTAAAATAGTTCTACAAATGGTTAGTGTCCGAGTGGCTGTAGTCGCCGGTGACGATTATCCCACCGTTGGTTAACTTAGCTTCTGCTGCTGTCAAGCTATTGAACAGATGGTAAATTAAAAGATGGCCGTCGGATTCTGCTGGACTAATCCGACCTTGATAACATACGACTGCCAGAAGTACGGATATAAACCCGCGCGGAGATCTTCTAGGGTTAATCTTGAGGCAAACGGTTTTGTGAGTCTTCTTTCCTGACGCCACCATATGGGAAAACGAGAGGACCCTGGGGACGAGGTTAGTTATGTTTCCAAAGTCGACTTGTAAAATAAAAGCCATCAAAAGTTTGGGAAGGACAACTGGGAGAAAGTTAAAATTCGTTCCGTAATGCTACCTCGTGTATTTCAGGATCCCTACATTCCAACCTACTAGATTCTTTTAAACCTTAAATTTATACTGTTCATGCTCCCCTCTTTTTCGGTAAGATTGTCCAGATTCGAAGACTTTGCTTTACGAGCGGTCAGCTAGGATGAATGTCAAATCTACTTAGGAGGCGCAAGAACGTTTTTGAATATAGTTTAAAACACACTACTTTACTTCAAAAGTAGGTTGAGATTGATCGTCCGGGTGAACGTAGTCCTGAATAGGACTGTTTTTGTTGACGGTGACTGACGTTTCGACAACCTGTGCGGTAGTCATCTTCAGAGTGAAAGTAAGTTGTATCACGTCAGTTGATGGTATTATATTCTGGTTATTGATCTGATTGGTCCATTACGTCGCGATGTTATGGGTCGTCTGTCAGTTAAGCCGTGATGTTATTGGCTATGAAGACTCGTAATCAGTAATTGGTGCGTTTCGATCCGTCTATTGTCACAGTTAAACAGTCGTCTACTGTTAGTCAAATTGTCATTCCCTCGTAGTTAGTTTAGCTTGATCTTGTCAACTGGTAACTGTTGGCTACGATTCAGTGGCATTTGTTCTGAGTTGGTAAACCAGCTTTCTAAAGTAAGACGTTGATAGTAGTCTGTAGAATACGTTATACAAGTCGCGGAGTCCCAGTAAATTTGATGTTTCGTCTGTAAATGGTGCTCAACAATGTGATTGTTGACGTCACCATTCCTCGTCGCTCCTTTGTGTTTGGTCAGTCGCGTGCTTAGGTTTCTGACGGTTTCACCAATGTAAGAAGGCTGGCATTCGCAGCATTTGATCTTGTATACTGCTCCCTGTCTGTCCGTAAAGTGGTTATCGGGTTTGTGTGCAACACGTATATTGTAAGGTTGTAATATACGTGCAATAGTTTCAGAGGTGCCCCTGATGTACGGTATAGTCGCTGTCGTAACAGGGCCAGGGTTGGCCTGAGTGTTGGAATCAGTGTTACTGTGAGTGTTCCGTCTAACAAAGTCCGAGTTGTAATTGTTTGAGATAATCAGTCTCTTCTTGTAGGCTGTAAGGTGAGTCGCAAACTAGTTGCGCTCGTCTCGTCAGAGTCCGGATAGTAATAGCCTTGTGAGAGGTCGGGTTGTACGAAGACTGGTCTGGTAATCGGTCGGTATGTGTCAGTTTTCTGTAAATAGTCGTTTTTAGTTTGTTGTTGTCGCGAGTGACCAAGCAGTCTAGGAAAGGTATCTTACCATTTTCTTCCATCTCCTTGGTGAACTGTATGTCTGCGTTCTGTCTGTTAAGGTGTTCGTGACAATCGTCGACTCCGTCTTTGTGCAGGGCAGTGAATGTGTCGTCAACGTAACGTAACCAAAGAGGTACAGTTCGCGTGTAGGTAGCTAGGGCTTGTTCCTCGATGTTTTGCAGGACAATTTCTGCTATAACAACAGAAACTGGAGAGCCCATAGCTGTACCGTGTAACTGTTTGAAGTATTTGCTGTTTTACTAAAAGTACGTCGAAGTCAAACAGAGGTTAAGTAGGTCCATAATGTCGTCTGTAGGTAGTGGTAACTCAACAGTAGAGTTATTTGTAGCGTTCTCAGTACAGTCTAGAGCCAGTTGAAGTGGAATACTAGTGAACAGTGATTTCGAGTCAAAGGACACTAGTTTGTGGTCGTCCGGTATCTGTATTGTCTTAATGGCATCAATAAAGTTCTCAGTAGACTGTAGTTTGTGTCATGATTCGTCAGTCAGCGGTTTCAGTACGTTAGTTAAGTATTTAGATAGTTGGTAGGCCGGGGACCCACAGAAAGAAACTAGCGTTGTAGCGTCGAAAGTCGATTTTCCTCAGCGTAAGGAGTTTCTTGTTAAGTTTGCGTTGCAGTGCGGGTGTCGGGTCTCGTTTAAGTAATTAAGTAAACCACATAGTCTATCTTCTTGACATCAAAACAGCAGATCAGTCGAGCTTGGAATTGCCGTTCTGGTTTCCGTCTTTTTCAAACGTTCGAAAAGTGGACTGGAAGAAAGGTGACCACCAACTCTATGGAACGTATATAGAACCTTGTAGTCAATACAACTGAAAAACCATCTCAGTAATTCCCCAAAGTTAAAAAAAAAAAACAGGTCAATTTTGCCTGTGTTCTGACGTCGTAGATGAAAGGAATAAGTTGTATAGACACCGGAAAACTTGTAGCTAGCTTTACGTTCGTTAATTAAAGTTATGGAATCATCTGGGTTTCTTTTATTTTTCAGATTGCAAAAAGCCATGCTCATACAGCAGTTGGATTCAACGTGGGAGAGTTATAAACTATTGTGACTGCTCTAACAAGAGTAAAGCTGTTGATTTTGAATTTCTGAAATGCATTCCAACGACCACCTCAGATCTGTAAGTGGCAATTACAATGGTTTCCAATTACAAGCGCCCTCGACAGGTTTCTCTGTTAGTGTCCTGAATTCGTGCATATTTTTTTATAATGTTCGAAAAAAAAAGGTCAGAATCGCTTAATTTTTTCATATAAGGAGTCGCCATGGAAATACCTGCGTCACATTTGCGTCATATGTTTGGATTCATTCATTTATTTATTCATAACTTGTTTTTATTTTGGATTGTAGTGTAGCACATAGTGCTAGTATCTCCGAATTCCATAAATAAGAAGCGATGAACAATTATTTATACTATCATAATGTAAAAACCGAAAAGAAGAAGACAAATAATATATATAAAAAAACACACACACAACTCTTAATAAATATAACCTATGATATTGTGTTTTTGATATCTCGTTTAAAAGTGGCAAGTGTATCCGACTTTCTGACATTATCAGTAAGCAGTAAGGTTATTCCATGCACGAGGGGCATAATTTCTAAAAGATCGTGAGCCACAAGTGCTAGTCCTAACATGAGGTATTTCTAGCATGTTATAGCCTCTCTAATTATAATTTGACAGACGCTGCTCTTGAATGTACGCTCTAAGGTAACGCGGGGCCATTCCATGTAAACATTTGTACAATGTTGTTCATTCGACTGTTGCGAGTTCATGGTGTTATAAGTGTTTTTTTCGGGGCTACTTTCATCTGCAGAAGCCCCCTTGCTGGCATCATTAAGCTGGAATGTGGGTAAAGGCAAGCCTCTGAAAGAATACAAGGTTGAGAGGTGTTTTCGTGCTAAAAAAAATACAAACATGCTTCGAAGCAGACATTGCGGTTCACGAGTGACGTCATCTCTCTGGCTGTTCTGTGGACGGATTCCAGGACCTACCAAGGCAATTTGGGCGAGTTTTTGCCTTTTAAACAAAACAATGGATACAATAAAATACTGGTAGGACTGGGTGGCCCAAAAATCTCTGAAATGGGAATAGGTAGCCTTCTACGCTCACGGTATGACTGAATGACTGAATTACCTAGAACTCCTTTTGAGCACAAACGAGCCAAGTTGAGCTACGCGAGTCCAGCTCTAAGGAAGTGGCTTAAGCATATCCAGCGATAATAGCAATAATAGCGATAGATACCACGATGTGGCCTTTTCATTGTTTTAAATTTTAGTCTCATCAGGCCCATCTCTTTTGCCTATAAATCGACGACGAAAAGGAGTGATTTTTGGCGATGATTTTCGGCCACAAAACTGCAAGCTGCAACAGTTGATTTTACTTTATCTTTGACGTGATTTGTATGCCACTGGACATGATTTGTATATCAAAAAGAGCGATCAATTTTCATCCATCCATTTCAATAAAAGCAAATGGAATCACTTCTCACTATCGCGGACAACCTCGAACCGTGACTTCGTCGTATAAATGTGCAGCATCGAAGAAAGACGAAAAAGCTAACCCTTTTTGATCAAATAATAACAATAACAATAGATGATAAGTAATAATTTTATTCAACTTTAAAAAATATGTACATAATTTCCAGAAATATTTGGAGTAAGAATTAAGCACTAAATAACATTAAGAATAGTATAAATAAATATATAGATTTAGCCAGGGCTAAAAGCGAGGCTCCCATTAATATATTTATAATTTAAATCAAACAATAAACTTGTATTCCACAATTCAGTTAACTTTAGAGCACATAACACATTCATGTGACTTTTGAGGGAAAGGCTAAGTGATTTTAGAGAAAAATAATTTGCAAACAGCCCAAGAGTGAACAAAATCTTACATCAAGTTGATAGCCTGATATGTACACCCAAAAAATAGCATCATCTTCGATCACATTTAGGAGCCATAATGGCTCTTGATCACCGCAAGATTAATTAAGCCTGGAAAAAAAAATCTGGCCGAATTTTTTTGCGTTCGACAGGTTTACTTTACAAAATCTTGCCAACAAATCCGGGTGCGTGCACGTGTAAACCAACCTTTTATACCATTTATACATCACATCTGAGGTGAAACAGAGGTACTGTTTTTATCGTGCAGACCTCGGACAGAATGCAGTATTTCACAATTTTGCGACATAAATTGCACTCATTCAATATTCAGGACGATGGAAGCACGCGTGGGCTTTTTAAACCGTTAAAAAAATTTGCAAAATCAAATACGGCCAGCCGGTTCTCACTTTTGCAGTGCAAACTGTAGCAAGTGTTTGAACGAACATACTAGAGTCAAGCTACAACATAATAAAGAAATTATTATGTTTATTCAGTTTTATTAAATTGTTTTATCGATGAGTAATCTTTAAAAGCGCCGGTTTGATACCCGCGGCACTGTGAGTACTCCTGCAAGCGATGTTCACTGAACGATTGAAAACAAACGGCACGGCGATTAAAATTACAAGAGAGACTACCAACAATCAATAAAAGAAATATAATTCGGTGAAACATATACAGAGACAACATTTTTCATTGACGAAGACAAAAATCTAATCTAAAAATCTAAAAATCCTGAGTCTTCAAGCTTAAAGCTTAAGTTTATTATATCAAACCTGATTCTTGGTCATATCAAATTGTCTCAAATCTTACAAACGTGCATAAACTACATAGCGGCATAAACTGCGCTCGACTTCATTAAATTAGATATCAAAAACAAACATCAAACGCAATAATTACTGAGGCTTACCATTCGAGATGCATCTCCTGAAAGGTATCAAGGAAGGCCAGTGTCGCTTCAGACTTTTCAACCCTTACGCATCAAGCAAGGTGAAAAGCGAAATCGATGACATCCGAAATCGGATTTCCGACTTTGACAAGTAATGTATTAATTTCTCAACCAAAAACCAACTAGCCATGAATAACAGAAGACTCCTGATAGCAGCTGAATTTCATTTTGTGCATCCAGTGGAAAAAGACAGTTAAAAACATCACAAGTTGACACAAAACTCTGTCAGCTTCAGCTGTCAAAGTAAACAAGATTCAAGATGCTGCATAAATTTTCCGCATGAGCTCACCTGTCAAATTTTGACCAATCAGAGCGTAAAAATTGGACGTAGAGCGTGACCAACGCGTGACCATGGTGAGCAAAGTCAAAAGCAACTGCCTTCCCTGCCTGTAATAGCTGGCTGAATATTTTCGCGTCCGAGGTCAGTTTTAAATCAAAATTTTAACTGTGCGGCACAAAAACAAAACATATTTCATATGAATTAAAAAACAATCAAACTTGAGCCTGCGATCATTTGAAAACTAGTAACTTGTCAGCGGATAACTTCAAAAATACTCGACCTCGATGGGTCAACACCTGAGCCCGCGATATAGTCAACTGATACGGGTCAGCGGATAACCTGTTTTGACAGCTGTCAATTGATCACAACATTAATGTCCAATGGATGTGCGCATTATCAGTTTTCCTGTGCTCTCAATTTAGCTAGAAAGTATCAGATTGAACATTGATTGGGAGCTAGTAAAACAACTGGTCAGCGGACAGCTTCCAAATAAATCACGTCACCTTGATGAGTTGACACGTGAGCCCCCGATATGGCAATGTGATACTGGTTAGTGGCTATCCTGTTTTGACAGCTGTCAATTGACCATATTGTGAATGGCCAATATAAAAGATATGGGTTTGCCAAGACACACCTGAGACACCCCTCCCTTCCTTTTGAGAGTCTCCCCTACCCTACCCGTACAATCTGTAGACGCGTACGTACGTACGTATGTACGCTCGGTCAGTCACGTGACAACCAAACGAAAAGAGGTTGACCATATTCTAATATATAGATTTAGCCAGGGCTAAAAGCGAAGCTCCCGTTAATAAATTCATAATTTAAATCAAACAATAAACTTGTAATCCACAGATCAGGGCACATTCATTTGACTTTTGGCAAAGGCTAAGTGATTTTAGAGAAAAATCAGAATTCGACCGTCCAAGAGTGAAACAAATTTTACATCAAGGTATTTTTACACCGAAAAATAGCAATCATGTTCGATCACTGTAGATCAGGCCTGGAAAACAAATAGACGTATTCGTGTATTGTATTTGCATTAGCTGTAGCATCATAATGTGGCATTCACCAGTCTCTCCAACATTGCTCCGTTAGAGAGACTATGGATAATTGGACAACCGCGAAATATAATTTTAAGAAACACATGCGCCACGATAGTCCTTGGTGGCGGCCAATTTACACGTTGCATTCCTCTGTCTAAAAGAAAGGCCAAAATAAAACTCAGGCCGGATTTTTTGTGTTCGACAAGTTTAGTTTACTAGTAAATCTTGGCGACGAATCTGGTGGCGTGTAAACCAGCCTTTTAAACATACTTTTTCGCATCACGTCTCAGGTAAACAGTACACA